GAGACAATCTTGCCATGTGCACACTGCAGCCTCTGCCCCTGGTTTAACCAAGGTGGCATCGGTGCTGCAAGTGAGATCGTGCCACCCGAAACATCAAGAGGCGGCCCTTCAGGCCATGGACCTTTTCATCGCTCACGCCTGCCCTCCCGATCTACGAGTGCCCCTGCTCCCCAATCTGGAGAAGTGTGCCTCGCCCGAGCTGGCTCTTTGATTTTCTTTTCGAAGCGCAAGTCATGATTGCCGAGGCTGCCTACAGTGTCATGGGCACGAGGTGAACAGTGGCAGTTGGCAGCAGTGCTTGAAGTTCCTGGGTTGGACTCAGAGGCCGTCAGGTATCCATGTGGTTTCGCTTTGTTTGAGAAAGGCTTAAAGTCCTGGAGAGGTGGCAGAAGTGCAAACTCCTTGGCGAAGCCCAGCAACAGTTCCAGTCAGGACTCGCTCGTGCTGTGTCGCACCCCAGGAGCAAAACACACAGAACGCTGCAGGAATCAGGCTTGCCACCGTCTGCTGGTTCATCCTGCGATGCGCGTCCGACGATGTCTGTGCCCAGGCGGGGCTTTGCAGCTTTGACGGAGTCTCGTGTTTTTCTACTCAAAACCTATCTCACAAGACTGGTTTGTCCGCCTGACAGGGCAAAGTTGCGGTCGCTCGTGTCCAGCGACGTGTCATCCATTTCCTGTGCCAGAGGGCCGAGGACCACGTCGGGCTGCAATTGCAGCAGACTATGCCGATGCCCACGCAAGATGATGAGTTCCATCCGTGCAAGAAGTATCCAGGCAGCAAAAAAAAACGTGCTTGGAAGCACTCTTCGCCGGAGCTTCCCACGTGGCAGCTCAGGGATGGCAGAGCTCTTCGCCAGGACTGCAAACCGAAGGTGGTGCTGAGCATCAACAGATGGCTCAGCAAAACTGCTGGCTTCCAGGGCCGGACTCAGGACGCCAGCCTGAGAGAGCTGGGTCTAGAAGATGTGGTGCCATCTCATTGCCACAGGCCGCTGTGTCCGTGTTAATGCAGCGAAGTTCCTGTAGGAATGCTGCCAAAGCGCCAGACCTGAATGTCCTGCTTCTGACAGCAGGCTGGCTTCGGACTATGCTTTCCGGTTCATCAGGAAAGGGGCACTGGCGATCCACGAGGCAATTCATGCAAGTGCGCTCCTGATCCCGTTTGCTGTTTTGCCTTGTCTGCCAGGCAATGGAAAAGCAACGATTTCGATCCATTTCTGTACTTTGCGATGCATCTCCGAAAAGCAAGATGGACGAAGCTCTGCTGAAGTCGTATGATTTGTCACCGTCTCTCCTTCCTCTGTTTCCTTGTTTTCTGAAACGCTCTGAACGTAGCCCAAACTCGTGACTTGCCTTAGGTCTGGGCACCGATCTTGTCGGTGTCCACTCTGTGTGTGCCCTTCACTTTGCAGCGGATGAGCGAGCTGTTGCCAAGCACTGCCCCCGTCCAAACAAAGATGGCAGAGGCAACGGCTCTCTGCCACAACGTGGCTGAGAAGCTGCTGGAAGCGGACTCCGAGAGCAAGACCAACACGAAGATGTGACCAGGCTAATGAGTTTGCCATGTTGTGCTTCCCCATGTGCTGCAAGAGCCACCTAGTCGGGGAGAAGCGGCCGCACCTCTGAGGCCCAAGGCATTGAAGAAGATTCGCCAGCAAAGGCTATCTTCCAGAGAGCACCTTCGCTGCCTCTGCCATCTTCTCAACGTCCTGGATATCGAGGTGATCGCACCGTCTGAGCCGCTACGACCGGCAGACTTGAGTACGAACGAGAAACGCTTCTTCTACCAGGGCCAAGCTTACTTGTGGTCTGCTGAGTCGGGGGCTTCTGTCTGGGACTCGGTGCGGCCTGCTGCTCAGAAGGAATTGCGGCTGATCGTGCAGCCGGATGAAGGGGGCCCGATGTTTTGTGCGGTGCAATGGATGCAGTCCAAGAACTTCAGGGTTTTGCTGCTTCGCGACGAAGTGTGATTTTGACTGCACAAAGTGACAGAGTAGGGCTTTCTCAAGCATTTTCACAATCAACATAGCCAGTGCAATCTCAGTCTCAGGCACAAACTACAGACGCACTATCTGCGAGTTCTCAGCTGCACTCCAGCTGTCAGAAGTGTCTCGGATAATCTTTGGGTTCTGAGAGAAGTTACTGTGTACGTGGCCGGCCTAGCTGTTGCTCCTGATGTCCTGGCTCCGAGGAGCCACGTATTTGACATCGTGGCTCATGAAGGCTCGCCGATCACCGTGGGCTACGAGCAAAGTGGGCCAGAGTTGGAAATCCGCAGGAGAACGGTACTTGCAGGTGGTGCTTCGGCATTGAGTAAGCGGTTGGCACGGTGTCTCAGGAAAGCACGTAGACGTAGACGGTACTGCACGCGGGAAGCGAATGACAAACTGCAGAACGGTAGCACTACAAACGACGCGACCGAGTTCAGAACAGTCCCGAAGTCCTAGGCGACGTAGGATGCTGTTTCTTGCCATCAGTTTCACTGGCATGCCTGGTCACCTGCCCAGGCAATGGAAGGTGATACGCTGCAAGAGCTTTTTGGACCAGCCATCCTGAGGGAGCTGCTTGCTTGCAGAGCCGTGTTTTCAATGACAGTACCCGCTGCTCGCCTTGGCTATGTTTCCTGGCAGGAACTCGTGGCACGGAGACGTGGAGGGGCAAGATGCCTTCGAGAAAGTGTGCCAAGTGATTGGTGCATGCTCCAAGATTCTTGATTGCTTAGGTTCCTGGAACCATTAGGGCATTTGTTGTGTCATCCAAGGAGTGTTGCTTCCAGATTCGAAAACAAACGCTGGTGCAGCTGGCAGTTGGCCTCTCGCAAGTTCCGGGAGTTCTACAGCTGCCAGCTACTCTTGGTGCTGTGGGCCTCTATGGAGGTCAAGTGTGCCATGTGGTTGGTGTTTTCAGCACAATAGATCTGTGTCAACGACTCGGCAGGTTTGTTGGATGTTATGCTGCATGCTGCATGACCTGCAGGCCGGGACAAATCCCTTCACTGTTCTGGACAGTGCTGGCCGACCTTCCGGCTGCGATTTCGATCGAACCATAGATTTGTGTGTGCGAGTAGCTTGCAAGCACTGGGTGGCATGTCTTGCTGAGGCCCTACACATATACTTGTACTTGTGAGCTAACTCAGGCATTGGTGGACCAGCAATCGCATGCTTTGTTCGAGAGCCTCTCCGCCCTCACCTGGTGCTTTGGCGACATGTGCCTTTGGCTTGTGCCTTTTGCTGCAAAAATATTTGCTGGATCGAAACAGTAGTGCTTGACATGGCTGGGGTTGCTTGTAAGGGTGTCTGTGAAGTTCAATCCTGTGTGCATCTGAGCAAAAGCACAAGTCGCACTTGAACATGCTCCACGAGCACGTCGGGTATGTGAACTCCGCTGCTTTCGAGCATATGCTGGGTGGTATTGTGGTTTCATCGCAGCACAAAGAGCTTTTGGAGAGAATGGATCTCCATCCTGATGCCCGGCTGGAGAAGCCCCTATCCACTGCAGCTAGTCGGCATACCAACAGTAACCTAGTAGAAGACACGTGTCGTACATGGTGTTCCTTTGATAGCTGCATTCACGAGAAGAGCCTACCTAGTACCCTGAATATCCTTTTGTGTCCGGAGCATGTTTGTAGGTTTTTCTATGGACTGGATACTGCGGTTGTTCCAAATGTTGCGACAAACGTAGTGTTATGCTTTTCATTCCAAAGCCAGCCGTTCGATTGTTTCAGCAGTAGTATACTACTGAAGCGGTCCTTACCAATACAGCCTTTTGTCGTCAGGTTAGGATCGGTCGTCTACTGTTGGTTTGTGCAGTAGTGATGACAGTGTCTCCTGTGTTCGCTGTGAGTGTGATCGCAAGTGTTGTAGCAGTCCAAAGAAACAGAATTATTAGAAGACCATCGTGCCAGTTGCTAGCACTAGAGTGCGACCACGTGCGGGTCTTGCTCCATTATTTCTGCAGGGCTCGTTACCTAGGGCTGCTACTATTTGGTAGCAACAGCTGTGCCTTTCGCCTCAAAGCATTGGTAGTTGGACTCGTCTTGAACTGCAAACCATCCGAGGCCAACTCACATATATGTCTATGTAGTATTGGTGGTTTGCGGGTTCTGCTATAGTCCTTGGATTCCGTAGCCACGCAGAAAGTGCCGCAAACACAGAGTGTCAGCAGTGGAGGTAGCAATCTAGCATGCCAGGCAGCAGACGAGTTCAGGATTGTGCGAAGTTTGGGGTTGTAACTGTTTTTCGGATGGATCTTTTGTGGGGTCGAGAAGCTAAGATTACTTATCGAGTCGGTGTAAGGGCGATGTGAGTTCTAAAGCTTCCGATTGGAAATTTCGCGGCTGGTGCTGCTATGCTCTAATTGATTGGGGGACACGATGGACCAGGCTTTTGGACTTTGTTTGTTAGACTTAAGGAACGCGAAAGGTTTCTCAGGCTGTGTTTCTCCCCTACAGCCGCAAAGCCACCAAAGACAGGAAGCGAGCTGAACTCTGTAATCTGCTGTGGTTGCTAGTTACACATAGAAAATTGTAGGCAGGTTCAAAGCAGTTGGCTCGCATGTTTGGCAACAGTATAGAACCGTGCTTTTTGTTTGTTGTCGCACGATAGAACGAAAGGGGCGAGGAAAGGCGATGGAAGTGTACACGAGTATCGGAGTGTGGTTTAGTGCATAATGATGTTTGCTAGATATCTTCAGTGTAGGCTTGTTCTGGTCTAGAGCACCGACAATTCTTCACACGGCCAGCTCAGCGCCGGCTACACTACATTTTACTGTTGTGACCATGAGTAGTTCATGTGTGTTGCAACGAGTCGACAGGCACCTGTTGGATTCGGGTTCAGTTGTCGGTCCAGAGATTTACGGGTAGACCCGAGAGTGGTTGGGCAGTCGCTGTTGTTTCGAGTCTTAAACCAGCCAGTAGGTTTGCTGTTCGGACATGCCTGCGATATTCGCCGTTGCAGAAGCCCCTACAGCTGAGATCAGCAGGTGGTGCAGATCGACCGCATGCCATCGGTGAAGGAGTTCTTGCTGGAGCAACACTGGGAAGCAACGTTGGCCAGCCTTTTCGAGATGTTGCAGTACCAGTCCCCCTTGCTGTGTGCTCCGAATGCTTTTGCATGTCTGGCCTGCACAAAATCAGAACGGTACGACGTGCAGGACCTTCACAAGAAGGTGCTGAAAGCCCTTAAAGCCGAATGGGAGATGCTCCTCTGCTTGGAACAAGATGCTCAAGGGTCTCAGCTCGTGCACAGACTTTGTCCTCAGACCAGATGGCAATCGTATCGAGAGTTGATGGTGACGTTCGAGAGGGAATCGTGGCAAGTGACGCCATTGTCCAAAGACATGTGTCTCGCATGGTTCGCACAGGTCAATTGCAGCAGCAACTGTGAAGACTCCTTCAACACTATGCAAGACGCTTGCAACAGGAGTGGCAAGAGTGGCTTAGCATCTATGGCGAACTTGCAAGCACTTCACATCCGATCAGTGAATCAGAAGATGACCGGCAAGAGCTTCCAGCCCTCCGCCGTGGAGCTCCAGGCAGAGGACTGGGAAGGAGCTGAAGTACGGGGTCTCAGGCCCAAGATGTTCCAGCCCTCGACGTTCGTGGGCAGTTCCTCAGAAGAAGGAGTGCTCGTTCCCAAATCTGTTGTACGCTATGGCAACCTCAACCACATAGGCTGCAAGTAGGCGAGTGGTGTGAAAGTCGTGAGTTTTGTGGTCATAAGTCAAAGATGCTTGTTCCTGCCTAAACTGCTACGTGAATCTCGTCCATGCATGAAGCCAGTGATTGAAGCCGATGGCTTTTTGACTTCATGAAGTTTCTGCTATTGGCACACATAGCAAAGTGTCTGCAAGTTGCCCAGTTTGAAGATTTCACTTGCCTGGTACGTCTTGGGTATATGTAAGTTTACAAACTATTCGTTTCCATTCGCCCATACTCACGTAGAGTCTCTGATATTTGGATCTGCTTATCTTCCTCATGCAATTCTTCACTGCGGAAGCTCGAGTTTCATTGATGTAAATTATTCACAGATTTTTCGATTCTGTTTTATGTCAGATCTATGGTTGATTTGTTTTCGTTTTGTCTAGGGTATTCTGTATGTTGACCCCAAACCGCCCCGAAGCCAGCTGATCGCTCCGCCAAGGCACGGTCCCAAACCGTCCCAGGCCGGCCAATCGCTCCGCCGAGACATCAAAGTCCCAAACCATTCCAAAGCCAGCTCATCCCTCCGCCAAACCACCCCAAAGCCAGCTAATTATCCCGAGGACAATGTGTCAAACCGTCCCCAAAGCCCATCCAAGCACCCCGCCAAAGCAGGGCGGCCCCAAACCGCCCCAGACCAGCAAATTGCTTTGGCCACTGGGTCCGAAACCGTCCCATACCCGCCACGAACACTACCAAGCCTCAAAGTCCCAACCCAGGCCAAAACCAGATAACCAATCGTTCCGTCCCCCAAAGCAGTGGCTTCGCAAGCCAGGTCCCAAACCGCCTCAAGCCTTGTCCCACCGCCGAGCAGAGGGTCCCATAACGCCCACAGCCGGAGAAAAAATCCGCCACGCCAAAGTCCCAACACATGTCAATGCCATCACTCCGCCAAATACCGCCCGCACCGCCCAAAGCCAACCAATTGCTCCACCCAGCTGGGGTGCCACAGTCGCTCCGCCAANNAAAACGTCCCAAAGCCAGCCACGCTGGTTCCCAAGCCGTCCCAAAGCCCAGAAAAGCATCAGAGTGTCGGCCGTCCAGGTTTCGTTCATTGTCTGTTAAGTTAGTCCGCAGCACAATCCCAATACATTTTTTCCGAGAACACACCAGTAAGGTCGCGATGTCAAGGTTGACGACATCTTGAAAGACTTCGGCTCGACAAGTGCACACCACCACCAGAAGTTTTGCATCGGTTCGATGCGAGGACTGCTGTTGGCCTGGATGAAGCCCCACTTCGTGGTAGTTTTTATTTTATACTGCCGTCTTTAATTCTTGACGAACATACAGACCAATGTCGGTACATCGTAGCCTAGAGGAAAGTTCCGCAACAGAAACGGCCCCGAAATCTGGACTCATTACCGGTCAGAAAGCAAATGTGATTTCGCCGGCTTAGCCCAGGAACGATCAAAGCCCGGTGACGGCTGCACAACACTTTTGGACGGCCCCGCTACTCCAGCGAGGCATGCTTTTCAGCTACGACGGCAAGTGGTTCATGTGCTTGGGCTCGGCAGCAGCGGTGGTGTATGTCCCTTGCAAGACTGGGCCTACGTTTACACTGTACACGTTTCTTCTCAGCCGTCTTCACAACCCCGAACGCACAAGCTAGATACGAATGTGTGCTCGGCAAATGCCCCAAGCCTTCGCAGTCCCGTTCGTTCATGTTTTTTGTCCATATCGTTTGTCGCCAAGGCTGTGCAGCTCATCGAGACAGGCTTGACCACAGCCGGAAGCTTGCCACCTCCGCCAGAAGATGAGACTTGCATCCAAGCCTCTCTGCCCGCCGTGCAGAGACGAGACGCACTCGTCGTGAGTGACGAAGTATGTTTGCTCCACCTCTCTCCTGAGAGGTTCCGTTGCTACTATCATTTTTATCCGCTAGAGTCTAGAGTTCGGTTGTTCGTATTAGTTGCTGCCTCAGCTCCTTTTGTAGGTCTGCTCCGGTCACACTTGTGGTGCAGTACAACAAGGTGGCTAGGTTGCAGTGTTTTGCTTGATCTGTTGCTATCCAGCTCAGCAATCGCTTGGCTACCAGTTTCAGATCAGTGCCACCTTGAAGTGTGGCTTTTTGTGCGACAAGACACACCGGCTTATGTGAAACCCAGGTGCAAGTGCATCAGTACTCGCTGCACTTCTGCGACGCTGACGCCAGCGAAAGTGTCGGCAGCAACCTCATCCTCAGAAGAAGCTTGAAGCCTGACCCATTGCTTGTGGCCTTGATGCGGACGAAAGGCATCGTGAAGCTCACGGTGGATGGGCTTGCTAGGTTGATGCAAGAGCACCAGCTTCCTGCACGGAAAACGATGACGAAGAGTGCCCGCATTCGGGAGCTCATGCGGCTGTCCGCCGTGAGGGACAGCCTGGCTTCGGAAGAGCTAGGTGAGCTGGAGACCTTGCTCACCAAGATGGATGAACGCAGGCTCAAACGCACGGCAAAAGAAGACGAAGACGAGGAAGCTGAGGATCCTGAGGACCCTAATTTGTGCATGCTTCGGTGCCCTTTGCCTCGATTTTCTGGGTCGTGTTTGCCTAAAGGAGTGTGTGTTTCGGCATGTGCTGCTAACTTGCAATGGGTGCTCGTAATGCTCAGCCCTGACAGGAATCCACGGATTTGCATGATGCCGATCCGGCCGTGGATGCAGCACGACAGATGCTGGCGCAAATCGAGCAAGACGAGGATATCTTCCGGAT